TTTATGCTTCCGCTTCTTTTTAGATTATGACAATGCTGAATTTCTTCCATTTTTGTTTTTTGATGTGCAGATCTGCTCATGAAGGCCTACAATCCTCAAGAAGAGGACGAAGGGCAGTCTGGGGTTCGAAACTTCGACAGCATGGAGGACACCCGTGTAATGTTCTATTCCGTCACACTTGCTCTTTTTCTGCAATTCCTAACACCCCTATACTTCGTTTCACCATAACTTGTCAAACTGTGGAGGCTGCGGCTTCTGCGACCCAATAAGATCGTCAAAGTAAGGCACGTGAAAACACTCGATGGTTGAGCCCACAGAGGCCTCGTTACCGCCACAGCAGCAGCACCGTCCATGACAAAAAGTAGTTCTAGGCTTCTTTTCCTTTGAATGGCACTTAAACTCGCGCGATGCCATCTCTATCAGCAATATACAGTCAAATCTCGTTAATTCAAACTTTCAGGTAATTCAAACAAGCATATGTCTCATCCTATGCGTCTCTATGAGAGGAAACTGGGAGGAAACACCCAAAGTTGGCTTCACAGCAGATGACCCTTGGCCAGCAGACGACAACCGGTTTCTCCGGGCCTCGTATTTGGCGCAGCGACACACGCTCCCGCAACATGATGTCACGTGCCTCGCTCCGATGCTCTTATTGGGTCGGAGGGGCCGTGACGTCCACAGTTTGCGAAGTTATCGTGAAACGGAGTATAGATGCATAGCATAGGGAGGTTGGTGGTCAGAGTATCATCTAACCATCTATTGCTATGGCAATCTTAGTTCAGAGATCTGCAGTGAGTTCCAGTTCACTGGTCACAACGACTGAGTCCGTTGTGACCACAGCGATTGGAATGACTGCTCTGCGCTGCGTATACACTCTTGCAACCGCTGCAAGGAACGCAGCAATTTCGGCAAACATGGCGATTGTCAGCACGTCAACTGCATCTCCATTGCTGTCCGCCATTTTTGCGGTGCCTCTGCCACACACTGGTGTAACAGAAAATGGGCAGACAGTTTTGAATAGCCTCAAGCTTTATTTATTTTCATTTTTACAGGATAGAGCTCGCAGCGTAAATTTTAGCAGAAATATATCAACATATATATAAAAGTAATTTTGAGATCACGTAGACAAAGCAAGCGGTGCAAATGCTAGCACTAATCGATTTACTCCGAGACGGAAACATATGAAAATTTCCCCCTTTCAGGCAGGAGTTTCAGTTGTCCGACCTTCAGCGTGAGCTTCCTACCTTCAATTATGCTTCGTAGTCTCGTGAACCTCTGAAGTGCACGCACGGACGAAGCATGTGTAAAGTCAATGGGCGCATGCTAGAGGCAGGGGCATTTGAAAGAGACACCCATCCATTCACACCTTGCCAGTGACTACAATCTAAAAAAAGCCCGTGAGTCTGCTCTTCCGCACAACACTCGGAGAGCCAATCACCACAACTTACGGAGGCAGCTCAGCGAATGACAATGCCGAATCATATGTTTAGACCAAAAAACGCAGACTGAGTTGTGGCATTAAGCAATGCAAGCGTGACGTTTTGCATTGCTTAATGTTGCAACTCAGACTGCGTTTTTCGGTCTAAACATATGTTTCAGCATTGTCATTCGCTGAGCTGCCTCCTTAATTTGCGGTGATTGGCTCTCCGAGTGTTGTGCATGAAAGTTGACGCACAAACATTTTTTAGTGTACTCCGGTCACCGCTAAGCTGAGACTGCATGCAGTGGAAGCTATGTCTTCGTTGGACCTGTCATAGGTGTCTTTCGCCATGTGATCACGCTCCCGCCCACACCCACGTGCAGAGCGGGGTCAGGTGACGAAAGGGAGGTGGATAATTGGTCCAACGGGCAAGCAGCTCTCTCCGCAGTCTCAGCTGAGGGCCGAACGGAGTATGGGACATGCTATTTTACCATTGCAACACAACCCTGGTCCCACGAATAAGGAGAGTACTTTACGTCAAAAAGGAAAACCTTTCACTATTTCCATGTTCGCTGGTACCATGTCCGTCACTGGATTGAAGGAATCACAACCAGAACACAGGGCGTACGGTTGTGCTTTCCGTAACACCCAATGGGTTTGTTGTTTCGGTCGTTCCGGATGCAGCTATCACATGGGAGGCGAAGTAGTATAGAGTGTTGGCAATTTTTTCCTTCCAACTTTTCACAGACATTATTGGCAACACTGATTCATTTTGGTACTGATATTGTCAATCGTAATTTCCAATGCTTGAACCACGCCAAGAAGCGGGCAAGAAAGGTGGGGCGGGCCAACGCCCACGAGGAAGAGGGGTCTCTTCGTCGCATAGTAGAGGAGTCGACAAGGCAAATGGCGAGTCGGGCCGAAAACCCAGACAGTAACGATCCTTTTAGGATCTATGGGATTCACGTAGGAAATGAGATAAGAAACTTGCCAGCCTGCCTCTGGAATGAAGCAAAGTTTAAAGTTAACTCGCTTTTATACGAACTACATTGCAGAGCTGAAAGACTGAGTAGTTCTCAATCTTCAACTTCCGAATAGTATGATGCAATTCAATCCCTCTGATGTTGTTCTTTCTTTTTTTATTGTTTCAGAACACCAAGTTTTATATGTATTATGCTTTTGTATTTTTTTTCCCCCGAATCCTCGGGTTTCATAGTTTCTGAACCCAAAGTTTTATATGTATTGTGCTCTGTATGATTTTTTCCCAAATCCTCGCTCATGTAATACGTTCGAAAGGACGTCTTTGAGCAACAATAAATTAAATGAAATGAAATAGAATTTCAACATGGATATGTTAAATTCTCTTGCACGGATCACCTCCTTCGCTTGTCATTCACTGGATGCACTCCATAGATGGTAAGAAGTGGCCTATTGTGGATTTGTGGGAAAAAAGGGCAAACACATTTAATGCTCCGTTTTTGTATTTGAGTAACACTCAACTTCAGATAACAAATTTATTTGTGACTTCTTACTGAACCTATCTTTTTTGTATTTTCAGGAAAGGCCAGTGAGCAAGCATAGAAGAGCCAAAAAACCATAAAAACGCTCCTGGTAATTTCTACCATGGAATGTGCTATCCTTTTTTACCACCAGTCAAGTCATGTACAAGGCAAGTTTGAACATTGTTATATGTGCCTATTCGTTTCCAGAGCTGTGAAGCAACATTTTTTGGTGATTAGCCACAAAATTGCAGTTCAAAGGCTTGTTTTTGTGCATATTTTTAAAGTATAGAATTAGTGCTGTATAGGCATCTTTAATATTCATTTTAAAGGGCAACTCCGCTCGATTTCGGAAATTTTGAGATAGTGGGTGATATAAGCGTGAACAGTACTTCAAAACAGCCCCAGACCGTTTGTCTAATTGAAAGCAAAATATTTTTTGTGCAATTTGTTATTTACCATAATCGCAAACCGGAACTTTGGCACAGCCGGGCAACATTGTACCCTCAACGTCAGTTGCATACGCACCCACGTGGAATACAATGGGTCACGTGATCTACCAGCGGTAACCCAGAAAAGACACGGATGCGAGGGGAAGGTGGCAACCCAAGCGGTTCGTCTGTTGGCACCGGTGGCACGTATGTCAGCGAAACTCATCCCGCGCAACTCTCTCTCCCTCTTTTTGTTTCTCTTGTTCTCAGTCATTTTTTTTTTCTTTTCTTCGTCTGCCTCGCCCCTTTGCTTGCTCAGACGGGGAGCTACGGGTAGCCAGAGCTCTGCGGGGAGTGCATCCGTAGCACCGCCTGGTAAGCTCTCCCTGGAAAAAAAATACCAAGAAAAAAACTGTGTATGCAACAGACGTCAGCCACAACGGAAATATAACGTCTGCGCCGCACGTCGCCCGCTAAATTAGCGGATTTTGGTGACTTCGCACATCTCAGTTTTTGTCGGCCGGTTTAGTGATCTTTTAGGTGGTATTACGTTATAATATTTGTCATTCGGTCTCTCTAGATGATACTAAAGAAAGTCGCAGTGTTTGCTAACAACCGAGAATCAAGCGGAGTTTCCCTTTAAGATTGAACGGTGTGGCAAATATGGTAAAATTTACTTACTGAAAGTTGTCTGCATTCATCCCTTCAAATTGTTTTGTTAAGGCCCTGTCACACCGAGGAAACACGACGGCAACAGCAACACAACACATAGTCCAATTGGCCAACTTGTTGCTTGATCCCCATGTTGTCCGACGAACCTGTCAGATCGCAGCTATAGCAGCACAACATGGACGACAACTAAAATGTTGCCTCGGTATGACAGCTTTCGGCAACAAAAACAGCAGCAACAATTGTGTTGGACAACATATGCTGCCCTGATCACTGGCTGAGCGAATGTCGGGCCGGCAACATGACAACACAGAACTTCCATGGTAGAGATAGTTCCCAATCAATGAAATCTTACTCAAATAAAGGCTTGGAAAACGTTATTGAATAGTTAGGGCTGACGTGCAGCTAAAATATTTTTTGTTGATGTTTCTAATGCGATTTTCAAAATGGTCACAGCTACCATCGCGAACGTTCAGACAGGTGTTGAAATTAGAACTGTCGAGAGACCAGCTCTCATTACTGCTAGTGAAATGAAGTGGCATGCCTACTCACCCGCCGATAAAGTATAATAAAATAATCCAGAAAAGCAAACATTAAAAATCGAAGCATTAAAACGACCACTCTAATCATGATTGTTGATGCTTGGAACTTGGAAACAGCTGCCACCAAACATTTAAGTTTTATCATCAAAACTGCACATTGTGACTTTTGTTTTTCTAATTCCTTACGCAAGTCTTAGAGGATGACCACGGCGATGCTTCTTCCCCAAGGTCAGCCGATCTACACTGTGGAGAGCACTGCAGAATCTAGGCTTTCGTTTCAAGAAATATGTCGGAACTCCACCCTGCTGTGCGAACAGACGTTATTCTGTGGCGTGCAAAGTACCTGCAGGCAATCAAAGCATACAGAGCAGAAGGGCAGCCCATCTATTTCCTGGATGAAACATGGGCAAATGCAGGGCACAATTGCTCCAAATTGTAGAAAGATACAACTGCGAAGGCACCAAGAGACGCCTACAATAGAGGCCTCAGTCTTGGACTCAAGAGTCCACCCGGGAAGAGAGGCCGCATCATCGTCCTACACGCTGGCAGTGAGGGCGGCTTCGTGCAAGGCGCAGCTAAAGTGTTCCGGGAAAAGAAGGGCACCGATGACAGTCACCAGGAAATGGACGGCAAGCGATTCAAGAAGTGGTTCACAGAGAAGTTCTTGCCCAACATCAAGGTCCACAGCGTGATTGTTATGGACAATGCGTCTTATTCCTCCGTCAAGCTCTATGCCTCTCCGAGTAGCAGTAGGCTGAAGAAGGATGTGCAAGGCTGGCCTACGCTGCATGGAGTTACTTCGGAGTCTACAATGTTGAAAGTAGAGCTGCTGAACCTTGTAAAAATGGAGAGAGTCAAAAGGCCGGAACTGGAGGAATGTCACGTGGACGCAATAGCAGAGCAGCATGGACACGTGGTTCTCAGTCTGCCACCTTACCATTGTGAGCTCAATCCGATTGAGCTAGAGTGGAGTCAAGCTAAGGGCTACATCGCAAGCCACAATGTCACCTTCAAGATTGTGGATGTGGAAGCACTGACCCCAGTCACTCCCTAGCAAGTGAGTGCAGAAAACTGGTCAAGCTATGTACATCACACCGTCGGAATGGAGGAGCGAATGTGGACAGATGACGGACTTATGGACATCGCCATCGACAGGTTCATCATCTTGACCGATGGAAACTCTAGCATGGACAGCTTGGATGACGAAGACATCGGTTGTGACATACTGAAGCAGTAAGTCGCCACAGAGCCTGGACCAAGCGTCGGCACCTGCCACTGGCACCTTGACGTTGGATCCCATCATGCCACAAAACCTTATGGTTTCGTTGCAGCAGCTTCCACACCTGTCAACGACAGTTACAACACCTGAGAGACCTCTGTGCATCCCTCCCACAGTTCAAGGGCTCGCCAAAGCAAAATGTCAATGTGTGGCTAGAGGACATTAGCTGCTTTCAACAACTCTCGACTTGGAATGACGCCACCAATCGTCTCATCGCCGCAAGAAAGGATGCTCAGCTTTCCAAGGAAAGCTCGCTGTCTCGATGAAACCCATGAAACCCGGCGGGGTCACCTTCGATGAGCTGTTGACTGTGTTACAAGCCTGTCTTGGCTCATAGCTGTCTTAGCTCTACAGTGCGATGCACAGAAGAAAGCACGGCATTCCAACAGCGGGGTCTCAGGACAGCAAAAACCGAACTAAACAAACTGCCGAAAGGGCAGTCACTGAAAAAGACACCGGCACCGAAACACAAGACAATGGCCCAGCGTTGCTAGAACAGGCTCAAGCAACATTCCTACTGTATCGGGAGGGGCGGTTTCTAGCTACTGATTTTCGATCACATTCCACCTGTTTTGCAACAGAGACACATTCAAAAGGCATGCTTGAAGTAACCACGGAGCACGAGAGGGCGCTGCAGGACGCTCGGCATTAAGGTCCCTTGATATATTCATTTGGAGGTAACGACAACGAACATACATGACGAAGCACGTCTTCTAACAAAATGGTGCCCTACAGTATATTGATGCATTGCGCCACCATTCACTTCCTAAAATCTGCAAAATTGTCTCTAATGGGCAATTCTGGAGGAAGTTCAGCGCAGTGTCAAAAAGTCAGAGATTGCCCACAAATACGAGATAGCTCTGTCGACAACCATCAAGAACGGAGACAAGATTGACAGAGCCCTAAACGATGATGCTGGCAGCGTAGACTGGAAGTAGCTCAGCAAGCCTTTGTACAATAATGTGGAAGAGGCGCTGTAAAAGTGGTTTGTCGACGCCCGCGCAAAGGAAGTTCCAATAAGCGGTCAGATCCACAGTGAAATCACATTCAGTAGTCCCACTCAATGCCACTTTCGGTAATCGGGCATAGACAGCGCCTCTCAAGCCGGATGGCGACAACTTGGGCAAAACAAGAAACAAGAAAAATAAGGTAAAAAAAGAATGGCTACAAGATTGATTACGCTATTGTTATTCTATTTAGAAAATGTAATAAACCAGGTTATTTTTGTAACGAATAGAAGGTAAGTCTTTTAAATCATTTACCTTAGTCCATTAGCATCCGTTGACCTGGTGAACGACCAATAAGAACAGACTACACTTTGACGCGCCGAAATACAATGGTGCAACCTTGTACAACGTACAAATACAAATAACGGCTGTTTGTGGTGTGCAAATGCAATAATTACAGATACCGTAATCAAGCAGCGGTGCAATTACAGAGAACCCGGTAAGATATGAGTCTTAAATATTGTTGGAGAAGTAAGAGAACGCTCAAATGCCGTCACGCTTCAAATAGCAGCTAATAGGAGGGTGAGCTTTCCAAATGGTTTAATTTCTGGAGCAGAAATCTGTGACAAAGCTTCGCCTCAAGATTTAGTGCCTTAAATTAAATCTAGTAATGAAATAATCACATCGTCTTGCATATATATTATCTGAGGTTGTGGTCTTCGTTGTTCTCTGGCCAGCATATTTTAATCATTGTGCCTTAAAAGCCGCAGCAGAATCTTCTTGAAAACATTTGAAACGATATAAAGGTGCTGTACAGAGCACGACACTGTTAGCGCGAACAAACGACCATCAGTTATTCCAGTTTTTCTCTTTGAAACCAAGGATGTCATCCAAGTTATTATAGCTACGGAAAGAGCTAATTTAGTTCTGTAATGTCAGCTATCACATTTCGTGCTCGCTAATACTATTTAGAAGTAAAACGCGAAAATACGCCGATGTCGTATTCGCGCTAACAGCGTCGCGATGTGTACGATCAAGCAAAACAAAAATAAACAAAACAACATTGTTCCCTTTTTTCTTTGCTATGTTATTGAATGCTTAGCCAATTTCCACTGATCTCCGTTTGAGACTGTAGTAGACACAAACTTGCGCCGTACAACATGCAATGATGTCGTCTTTCCTTAGGAGATAGGAAAAGGGGGGCAACTCTTTACACAGAGAAACCCAAACAACACGGCCTTGCACGCTTCACGTGAGATGATGCGTTAGAGGCGGTCAGACGCTCAGCTGATATCTGCGTCGCAGAGATGGTACCGTCTGCTTTTGGCAAGCCGCTGTGGCTTACCCCGGAAGGGAAGTTTCCGACACACAGGCAAGCGTAAAAAACATGCACTCATCCTCAACTAGTCTGGTACGTGGACAGACTGGCGCCGTACAGTGTACATGCTACGAAACCCAAGCAATGCGGCCTTGCACAATGCGCGTGAGACGACGGGTTGGAGGCGGTCACACGCTCAGCTGGTATCTGCATCGCGTGGGAAGATATCGTCTGCTCTTGGAGGAAGTTTCAAATGTGTGCCGCGATGACTTATCCCGAAAGGGGATGCAAGTTTACTACACGCAGGCAAAGGTCGTGGGAAGCACGCTCATCTTCTACTACCGTAATATCCCGAGTCATCGCCCATCCCCGAGCCATCGCCCACCCCATTTTTTAGGCCAATATCGATTTCCGAAAAAACACCGAGTCATCGCCCACCCCTTCAAATACCCCAGCGCGGACTCTGCGATCCGCGAACACTCATCGATCCTACCCGAATGACGTGGCCGCGGACCTTACAGTTGGAGGACGTCCGTGACAAAGTAAAACGAAGGAGGGAAAGACACTTCTTTTTGTTTACGCATTTCCTCCGTGAGCGACCCCAAAGTGGTCGTGTTTCCGTGCGAAAAGAAAACGATGGAGATAACAAAATAAGAGTTTGTTAATGTAACCGCGGAGTGTTAGGTCAAAGTCTGTCTCCGCCGAAGTAAGGTCACCGCGAACCCGCTCCTTCTTCCCGCCCGTCGCGACCGCGGTTGTGCAATATTTTAGGCAAAGCCAACGCGTAAATAAAGCTTTGCTGGAACGCCCTACACAGACGTTTGCAGAGCGTCCCAACCGTGCATTGATAGCCCGCCGTGCACGGACGCACGTATGTACGCACTAAACAAGAAAGTTGCGCAAGAGCTTGCAATAGACCATTTGCAGTCTCTCCCAAGCGCCCCGGCGCGCGCGCGAGGAATCTTGGGATCGGTGTTCTGTCGGCCCCCGTCGTCTGGCTGCTCTCCGTTGGAATCGCATCACCTCGCCCTAGACATACTTTTCATCTTCGTTGTTTATACTTAATAATCCTCTTTTTTATCTACTCCAGTGTATTTTTCTTGTTCATAAGTGTATCTATTTCGTTCAGCGCTTTGTATTTCTTCTGTATATTACGTGTTTTTGTGCATATTCCATCGTTTTCGACGCGGCCGTCGACGGACACCACGCCGCTTCGTTCGCCGCTCCCGGGGTGAGTACTGACTGTTGCCGTTACGCTCTATCCCGCTCCTAGGCCGTTCATTTAACTCGTGTGCGGTCGCGAGAGAGCAGTTTCGAACATCACTACAAATGTCACCGCTGTAAGCAGAGAAATAAAGTAGTCATCACGAAGCGAAGGCCGACATGCCTTCGCTTCGTGATGCGCTCGCCCTGTGAAATGTGAGCGTGGGATATCGAGTACTGCTTGCGTGCTCAACATTCGGGACGGTGCTTTGTCGTTGCGATCTTTTTGCCCTTCGGACGCTTGCGAAGCTGTACCAGCGGTCGGCGTGCCTCGGCAGCGCTCGTCAACAACCGTCCGCGCAGCATCACATCCTTCGCGTTCGGTTCTTCGTCGCGGCGGGAGAAGGGGTTCTGACTGCGTTTTATGCATAGTATGGGGGAGATTCCATTGTTTATCGAAATTACAGTTCAGCTAGCGCGCTCACTGTGGTGAGGCAAGATTGCCCCTGCGAACCGCGCTAACACAGCGTCCCGCGAGTGCATATCTTTATTGATCATCCCGTTTTCACGCAAGCGCGTGCATATGAAATGCTAGACACTTTTTAGTGGCTCTGCGAACTGCTTCTTTTGGACGAACACTGACGCATTGAAAGCTGGAGTGTCTTTGCCACTCCTGTACAACACTTCACGGTCGTGCCAGCAGCTTTATGCTGCTGGCACGAAACGGATTATGGTCAAAACGCGTTCTTCGTATTCAGAGCTGCACTATATCATGGACACTGACAGGGCAGCAGCAACAAGCAGCTCAGTGACACTGGAGATGCTTGTCCCCAATGCCAGTGCGTGGCTTGCTTTCAGAATGCTCCTTCGACTGTGTAATGTTCGAAAGTGCACAAGAAGTTGTAGATTACAAAAGCTGGCATGTTTGCCTAATAGCAAACGCTCTTTTTTTAGCACAAAGTTTACAGCAGGCTTTTTTTGAGGGGTTGTTACCCTAGATGAACTCTTACTTCGCAAGTTTAGGTTAATTCTGTCAAAACAACACCAAACCCATTAAAAAACTGTGTTGGTCAAATTTCCGTCCTCCTTTTAAAACGCTGACTGAGCTGCCTTTTTTTCAGGGAAGGCTATGGCGACACGGGATGTACCAGAGCCGCAAGAGCTACCACTTCCAGCAGGACCTTGGACCAAGCAGCTGAAGGACTTTCCTTCCGCATTCTCGGAAAGCCACATCCAAGGGCATGGCCAAGCAGCTGGAGCACAGAAGCACACAAGTTCTGGCTACAAAATGTTCAAGGCCCACAAAG